TTAGATAGGCATAATTTTAATTGTAGGTAGGATAGATAGGAAGCATCCAACACTAATGTAGTTGAATAGGTAGGCGCGTAAGTTTATCGCTTCTATTTTTTTCTTGCACTCACATTACACGCATCAGCGTATTACACACACACACACAAATGCATACATAAACACATATGTTAGTATTTGAGCGTAATTTTATTTTCATTACACATTCTAATTTATTATTACTAAGGTTGAGAGTAATTTAATTTCATAGGTAGTTAAAAGCAATAATGTAATTCTAGGAACAATCTTGTAATGTAAATTAAAAGGCTGTAAGTGTATCGATAGGTAGGTTAATTATTAAGTTTTACACTATTATTATTATGTTGGAGCCCAAGGCATTACGTAGGTGGTGGGGTGGGTGCCGAAAGGCCAATGAATTGGGCTCTTGAGTTTTGTAATTTTAGGTAAGCTAGGACCGTAATGTAATGAATAGGTAAGTTAAGGCTACGTTGTAACACACACTCATTAATAGATTTAGGGTTTAAGTTTTATATTATTATTACTAAGTTGGAGCCCAAGGCATTACGTAGGTGGTGGGGTGGGTGCCGATTGGCCAATGAATTGGGCTCTTGAGTTTTGTAATTTTAGGTAAGCTAGGACTTAATTGTAATGAATAGGTAAGTTGAGGGTACGATAGCCGATAGACTCTGAATTTCGAAGTCTGTTGTCAGAGGTAAGCCTTGGTGGCCAGTGGTGAACCGGCAATGGTTTACTATCCGGACGGCAATGGTTTACTATCTGCACGGTAATGATTTACCATGCGGCACGACCATAGTCTACTACCCGCACGGCTTCCGGACGGCAAATGGTTTACTATCCGCACGGCAATAGTCTACTATCCGCACGGCAATGGTTTACTATCCGGTGCCCTGGCTGTCGGTGAACCTCTGTGCAAGGAGGGAGAATGAAGGGGGACTTTCGACTATCGTACCATTATCAATTTAATATAGATTAGTTAAGGTAATTAAATAGGTAGATAGGATTATTTTTATTAAGCAATTTGAGATGCAGGCACCGCTAAGCTTTCTGATGAGAATCTTCTCTTGATCTTTCTCCATCAACACGGGATGTGTTTCAACAACAATCTCGAGGTGGACTGGCACCAGTTTTGGACGACAACGTAGGAACCGGACCGCATTCAACATTCTGCCTTTGTCGAATGGACGACGGTAAGTTTTTCTTTTACATTTTACGCTTTTTATTATTTTAAAATATTATTTATTTGACATTATTTTTATTTTATAATTTTTTGCTTCTAAGATTCTAACATTCATTAACTACTACGCAAATAAAAAAAATTTGTCTACAGAATGATGAGTGGTGGGCAGTGGTGGGAGTCAGCACGTTTCAAATGGTGGTTTCATGACGGTGGTGTAGGAAGAATCAGCTCGTTGGCTGTTCGACTGACACTCTGAAGTTCGGATGACATCTTGTGTGCCGACCAGATGGTGGTGGTCGGTGCAATGGATTACAGTAACGACGATTTTTGAAGTAAGGTTTAGTTTTGTTTTTTTATTTTTCTCATTCATTCATTTTCTCACTCAATCTTTCAAATTATTCATCCATTAATTGATTAATTGATTCATTATATTCACTAAATAATTCAACCAATCATTTATTCGTTTGTTCCTTCGTTCGAACATTCATTTACTGCTACGCTAATAAAAAATTTGTCTACAGAATGATGAGAGGTGGGCAGTGGTGGGAGTCAGCACGTTTCAAATGGTGGTTTCATGACGGTGGTGTAGGAAGAATCAGCTCGTTGGCTGTTCGACTGACACTCTGAAGTTCGGATGACATCTTGTGTGCCGACCAGATGTTGGTGGTCGGTGCAATGGTTTACAGTAACGACGATTTTTGAAGTAAGGTTTAGTTTTGTTTTTTTATTTTTCTCATTCATTCATTTACTCACTCAATCTTTCAAATTATTCATCCATTAATTGATTAATTGATTCATTATATTCACTAAATAATTCAACCAATCATTTATTCGTTTGTTCCTTCGTTCGAACATTCATTTACTGCTACGCTAATAAAAAATTTGTCTACAGAATGATGAGAGGTGGGCAGTGGTGGGAGTCAGCACGTTTCAGATGGTTGTCTCATGATGATCGTTCCGATGAAAACAACAACGACGGTTTTTGAATTATGGTTTAGTTTCTTTTTTTTATATTTTTCTCATTAATTCATTCATTTTATCACTATCTTTCAGATTATTCCTCCATTAATTGATTCATTGATTCATTCTATTCAGTTAATCATTTATTCGTTCGTTCCTTTGTTTCTTGATTTACTACTTCGCTAATTAAAAAAAACTTGTCTACAGAATGATGAGAGGTGGGCTGTGGTGGGCGTCAGCACGTTTCAGATGATGGTCGCATGATGATCGTTTCGATGACTATTGGAAAATAATATTAAAGGTAAATTTGTTTTAGTCCCATCGTACCATTGAAAGTACTCTAATTTGAACAAAGATTGAGTGATATCTCAAAAAGATAAGTTGCCTATTTTTTCCAATTGCTTATTTTTTATTTTAAAGAATTTTTTTTTCAATTTAGTGTTTTTCCGTATCCGGCCAAATTCATTCCATCGATGCGTGTCAGATGATGTTCGGTGCAATGGAGGTTCGTCCGTAGTGAGTGAAGAAGTTTCTGGAGAGTACACGCCCGCACATTTGCACACACACATCAATACAACACACACATACACAACATCCATTCATTCGGTGTCGTTGTTGTTATGTTTCTCTTCAACTTTCTATTTTCTTTACCGGACTTAATTTAATTCATAGGTAAGTTAGGGATTGAGTGAGATGAGTTGAACAATCGTAGGTAAGCTAGGGCTTAACATTAGTTAAAAATTTTCAAGTAAAATAACAACGCTAAAATATGTTAAATAAAATACCTGAAACGTGTAAAATTCATAAAACGTAGAAACACAAATTTGTAGGTAGGTGAGTTGAGTTAATATGATTATAAGTAAGCTAGGGCCCTGAGAGTAATTTAATTGTAGGTAGGTGACTGACTACTATTCTTGCGACTTCTTACTAGTTTTGTGTGATGTGTTTGTTTTCGCTTCGCAGCATCACACCAACAAAACAAATTACATTTTATTCTCGTCGTCGCCTTAAATTTTACCTTTTTGAACAATCTTTTTAATAATGTCTATTTATTTATTAAATGTTGACTGGTTTATAGTTTTTTTTTAATTTGGTTATATAATTTCTGGATATTTCTTGATTTACTTTGTATATATGCATGTATAAATAATTTCTGTTTGGTATGTTGATTTAGTCATTATGATATGCTGTGAACTGTTCTTACTAAATGTTATTGTTGCATGATAATAATGAATAATTATTTTGTATTGGTCGATATTTTGTTATATTTGTTTGTTTAAAATACGAATTTTTAAAAAAATTCAACCGTCACTTTTCATTTTTGAATGCAAATAAAAGCAAGTATTGTGTTTTTCTTTCTTTACTAAAATCTTGAAATTGTTTGTATCTGTTCGGTTAAGTATTTGTTCGAGTTTGAACAAGACATGCAAATATTTTTTAATTTATTTATTTTTTCGTTAGGGTTAGATTAAGAGGATAGTTCAATACCAATTGCATAATCTTACAACTATTTATAGTCACGAGATAGTGCATCATACTGATATATGGTGTATAGTGTACATATAAGTTATACAAAAATGTACTTCATAATTTAGTATAATATATATATAGAGAGAGAAAGAGAGAATATGAAGTGCACCTTTAGGAAACACCTTTGCTCTTGTGTGTAAATAGAAGGCTTGTGCTTTTACTGAGACAAAGTATGATTAACTTTCATATTGTAGACGTCTTTGGTTAGTTAATCAGGCAAATTGATAGTTCAATATACATTTATTTGGTGTAATATATGTGATCAATTTCCCTTCAGGTAGAATATTAATGATAGTATTGCTCACTGTGGGAGATTTTTAAAAGCGAGTTCTTAAAAATCAAATTACGAACTATAGTGACTAAACAAATTTTTGTCACGTGAAAACATAATTTGAATAATATCCTTCATATAAGACCTATAAATTATATATAGGATCTGCATATATTTAGATATTCAGTGCTGTGTTTCTAGAACCACTGAGTTTAGTTATAATTAAATTAACTTTTAAAAACATTACAAAAACCTGCCTATAATTAAATAAGCGTGAATCTTCTATTAAATTCCCTTTTTTTGTCCGGATTTTTGGGGATTGATCAAATAGGCAGATTGTTCCAAAAAGTTAAGGTAAAAACTTGTGATGATTCGATTTATTTGTCAAAATGTTGTTTCAACTTAATGTTAATTTGACTCCTTTTTAAAAGTTTTAGTAGTTAACTAACAAAAAAATAATTAATTCCTTAATTTATTAATTAACATTTTATTTAACTCTTGCCTAACCAATTAAATCTGAAATCAACTTCTAAAAAGATTTTTTGGTGCGAAAAAAAATAATCAGATGGGTCTGCTAAGTGAAGGTACTCCTCTATCTTGGGAAGAAAGCAAGAGAGTGGCCGACCACGTTCGAAAGCACGGAATAATTCAGTTCATCAATCAGTATAATAAGCTAAAGGATAGATCTAAGGATTGTTTGCTGTGGGGGGATGAGGTTGTCATTGCTGTCTGTTTAGATGTCTATTTGTTTGTATGTTTCTTTTTTATATGTTTATCTTTGTTTGTTTGTTTGTTGTAGCTGATAGTCGTTACTTTTTCTGTTATTTCTGTTATCAAGTTATATAGGTAGACATTTTATTAACCTCGGTTAGTTTTTTTTCATTTTGAATTAGTAAAAATTAAATAATGAAACATCATTCAGATCGAATACATGCTGGTAAATTTGAATGATAAAACCAAGAAGGCAGCATTAGTACTGAATGCTCAACCGATTCTTGAAAAATTAATGGAGGATGAATACAAACATCCAGAGTATGTTCATTCATTCATTCACTCATTCATCTACTCATTCATTCACTTCTCTTTCATTCATTGATTCATCTAATTTATCCATTCACTCACTCACTCATTCATTCATCAAGGGAGCATCAAACGACTTGGAGGCCCGAGTATGCATCCTACATGGTCGAAGGTACTCCAGGCAAGCCCTATGGACCTAGGATGAGTCATTTCAATGTTGTAGAAGCTAATATGAGGAGGAGGTCTGTGTTTCTGTGTGCGTGCGTGTGTGTGTGTGTGTGTGCGTTCGTGCGTGTGTGTGTGTAGATGGATTGATTATATGAATGGAAGAATGGCTGAATCATTAATTTCTATAATTCTTTTATTGACTTTCTGAAATTCATTTTCATTAACTTATTCATTCGTTTATTTATTTACTTATTAATTAATTAATTAATTAATTAATTTCTTCATTTCCAGGCGAGAGGAAGTGATGAAGTTGCTCTCCTATGATCCTAACAATTTCGCCATGACCTTGAGCGTTTTCCCAAGGTAACATTTTGTAAATTAAATTAATTAATTTATACATACATTACGCATAAATTATCATAATTTATTAATTATCATAACTTATCATAATTTATACACTCTTTTTATGTTTAGATCATACTTTGTCTGTTCATGGCTGTCATTATAGTTAAATTTGAAAATGTCTGGTTGGGTCGTTTTTAATGTTGACATACTTGTTAACGCCATGTGTATCTGGCTAATTTTTTGCACGTTTCTGCATTTAGAATCAATGTATATTATTTGTGTGTGTGTGTGCGTGTGTGGTGTGTGTGTGTGTGTGTGTGTGTGTGTGTGT